GCGGGGGGGGGGGGGGAGAGTGGCGGCGACGCACCGTCATCCCCTGCCTGGCCGGCCAGGCCAGCGGGTCCCCCCGGCCACCACCACCCAGGTGGCTTCGGCGACTTTTTTCCGATCCAGCCATAAAAAGACCCCTCAGCCTACGGCCATGAATTGGCTCGGCCCAGTGCTGGGCTGGCTGGCCAGGGGGAGGCGGGGGGGCCTGGGCTGGGGGCCGGGAGGCGCCTGCCGGACGTGGCCCGCCACTCTCGGCCAGTCTCCGGCAGAGGGGGGGGGGGAGGGGCGGATTTGGGGCCGGTGCAGACCCAGGCCAGGGCGGGCGGTGTCGCGTGCCAGCCCCCGGCGCTGGTGCCACCGCCGCCGCCGCCGAACGGCGGTCCCACCGCCGCCCCGGGGCGGCCCCCCTCGATGCCCCCATCGCAGGCGGCTGGTTTAGGCGGCGAACACCCCCCGGGCCGGACCCATCGCTGGGGTTACCAGTGCCTTTGTCCTGCGGCCGGCCGTGGCAGGCTGTCTCAATGCCGCCGGCCGGGGGCGGTCGGCGCGCCACGGGGCAAACACTGGGTCTCTGGGATTCGGCCGCCGGCCGGGCGAACGCCGCCGGCCGGTGTTCGTCCGCTGTCTCACAGCGAGTGCCCCCGGATGCGCGCCGGCCGCTCGCGCCCGCACGTCCTCTCGCCCTTTCTCCCCCGCACCCGCCACCGCCCCCCCGGGGGAGAGACAGCATGCTCACCTGCGCGCCCGGACGCAGGGCGCCCGCCAGCCCGCCCGCCCGCCAGTCAGCCAGCCAGCCGGCCAGCCAGCCAGCCAGATCGCTGGCAAACGGCCCAGATTGGTCACTCAGGAGACCATTAATGTATGGCACGGCGCTTCCATCAGGGGATGCCCGTCTGGGAGACCCGGGTGCCGGAGCCCGGCCTGCGTGCTCCCTCCCTCGTGGCCGATCCGACGCGGAGCCCGCCACCGCCGGCCGCCGGCGCTCTTCTTTTCAGCCAAGCGTGCCCGAGCCCAGGTCAGGTGCATGGTTTGTGTGCTCTTCCTCTCCCCCCCCCCCCCCCC